ACCACAAGTCTTTAATGGCAAACACCTGGAAAAACAAAATAAGTAAAAACAATAATTGGTATTGACAGCCATAAACAGCAAACAGCATATTTCATCCAAGCGAGTAGCAGAGAGTTGTCAGTGGAAAAAGCAAACAGCATACATTTGCTGTCAAAATGTGTGATAAAAGCCGTAATAGCTTGAAAACTGTGTATAGAAGGTGATCAAAAGTCGGATCAATGAAATAATAGCTAATTTACATTACAAATGTAGTAAGAGCATTTTTACATCACGCAGGTGAATGTTGTTGGCGCCATAGAGGTATATTCTTTAAGTTAAGCACTCAATGTTATTTAAATGGGTTTCATTACCTCACCGAGTGAGTTTTTTCAACTTTACATAACTCGTGAAGTCAAGAAGTTGTATACATCACGCTTGGGATAGGGAAGTTTAACATGGCGGGTTAGGTAAAATGTGCGAAAAGTGGCAACGTTGCATCCGTGTCTTGGTGGGCGGTCGTCTTACCATTACAGTGAATGGAGGAGTCGCGTACCAACGTACATAATCACGTTTCTACTACCCTTAATCATTAGTAATGACATTGAACTTGTTACTACAGCATGCCAGATAGATGTGATGTGCCTGGATCGGATGCAAGAATAATTACGAAAGCTCAATTAAAAATTAATAATACATACAGTGTTCTAAGATTCTAAGTGATCCACCGCGTAAGCAACAATGGCTTCCTGATATTCTTTGGTCAAATTAGACATATTAAAACAATTCTCGTTTTTGTGTGAAACATTTTCACGAATATGAACATACCACATATCATATTTTGGTATGTTGCAATTTTCCACTAAATAAAAAACCTAGATTCTAATTTGTCTATTTTACCATACCCTAAAATTTACTATAATATGTAATTTAAATACTTCATTCATTGATGCAGAGCAGCAATACTCTTATTGATGTTTATAGTCTAGCACGAGTGCCGGACCCAGGCGGCGGATGAGTGCGGCGTTGCCAGTTCGAACGTCGCGGCCTTGTATTAGAGGTGGCTGTGGTTTACCTGACCAAGATCTATTATCTATTGTGTATAGAAGAAGAGAAAAATGTTGTGTGTGATGTTTTTGTACCTAATGTATTGTCTTTGGAGCAATATACAACTTCATAAGGTCTTATAAAACATAAAAAAAAATACAACTTCGAGAATCATGATGTTGTAAATAGAGGAAGATATAAGATAACATCAGATGAAGTACATTATAATAATGCAGCAACAACTTTAAACCCCGGATCTTTTCAGTTATCAAACAAACTGATATTACTTTACATTCTGTCCTCCCATTGGAATTTACAAAAGGAGTTATTTTAATAGCAACATGATAAAAAAAGGATGAAATATTTCTTAGTTGAACCAACAAAAATTATTTTTATTATGTTTAATAGATCCTGTGGCAGAACAGCATTTTTTGCAAAAGTGTTTTACATTTTTTACCTTAGCAAATTGTTCTTGGAGACAATTTCAAAGCGTATCTAATATTTAACTGTGTAATCATTCAGATTTCAAAGTATCAAAATACTTATCTCGTATTAGTAAAAATACATTTATTTACTTATAAAAGGGTATAAAAATATCGAACGCTAATGTTTCTTTAATTTTGCAGGATTTTAGGTTTCAATTAGGAACTATCTTTGACTATTAATACTACAACTTCAGTATCCAATAGTCAATGGTACTATGCATGGATAGTTTTAATCCAAGTCTGTTTGTTTAGTTGGGCTACTAAAAAGTTCCCGTTGCCATGTATTTTTTGTGGAGCTCATACAAAATAACATTTTCGGTATTCTAATAGCTACAAGATTTACATTTAGATCAAATAAACCAAAACAAAAATTAATATAAACTCCCTACCGCCTACAGTTAAATTAGTGATAAGAAACTTAACCATTCCTCTAGATGTGGGATCAATTTCATTGAGGATTTCGTCGTAAAAACTAGTTTTTGTTGCCCCATCAAGAATCCCAACAAAGGCAAAAAAGCAGATTAAAAATTGTCTGTAAGCAATGGCAAATACGGCAGCTGTGCTCATTCCATCAGCCGCCAGTTGATAGACGTTCTTGACTCCATATGTGATGTTGTATGTTAAATCCAAAATTCCACAAATCTGGAAAAAAATCAACTCTGTACAAGCAAGGTATGAAAAGGTACACGAGAACAGAAGTCACATTTAGTCTGGGCGCGTGGGTGCGCTAGGGCCCAGGGTGAAGGGGGAAGTGTTTATTGCTCATTTTTAAAAACATCTGGCCCACACGGCTCTGGGGTTGTTCAGCTGTCTTCATGTCTAGCCGATGTGGAGGGGGTGGGATAAATGTATACAGGATGGCTAGTAGAGAAGGAACCACGCGCCCAGACTGCTTGCGCGTACTTTAGCTTAACGTAGTTGATAATAGAAAATTGTCTTTAAGGTAGAACTGTAGAACTCTTGATCAAAATCAAATATTGACAAATACAATTAGATAGGAGATAGGGCAAAAAATACTAGAGCCAAATGTGTGAGGCCATTAAAGTATTCTAAAGTTTACACTCGTTTACCATTCATTGGTATTTTTATGTAAAAACACTTTGGGGCAATATATCTAAATTCATAAATGTATGTAGGCCTATTAACAATTTACAGTTTATCTTGTTGAAACTAGATAACAGCACACATTGTTATATTGTTTGTAATAAGTTTCAACTTTCAGTAAGACTGACTAGGTAACTTTAACTTAGTTTGTAAAATCATTAAAATGGTGTTGAAAGGCTAAACCCTAAAGAGTTTCTTTATCATATTCCCATAATTATCTTTAGTTAACTATTCACCAATAACCATCAATCAAATTATGTAAATAAATACCAAACCTTATGGATTTTTAAAGATGTTATTCGCGCGCAAGGGTTGACCCCGAGAAAAAAAGCGACACAAAGAAACCAAGGGTATAACATAATTACAACGAAGAAGGGTTTGCAGATAATACTTCAGTTAAGTCTACAAAGCGTATAATCACTAAGTGAAAATTTGAACAGATAATTATACCATTTGAGTGTGATATGAAAATTACATAATTGAGTACCGGTACTAGGATAATGGTTTATTTGTAAGCGATAATGGTTCATGTAAGTGTATTGATATAAGTGTATTGTAAGTGTAGGAATATTAGTTTGAACTTCTTATTTCGTAATTTTACAACAATTGAAATTGCAGGAGAAGATGATAACTTCAGGACATATACACATTTAGATATATATTTAGGTCAGTGGGGTAGCGACAGAGGAGGGATTGGAACCAGTATCTCCGGAGTGGATGATTCTGGAGGGTAGTACATATCAGAGGAAATAATATTGTCTTTGTCTTGATTATTAGAGATTATATTTGTCCAGACATACAACTAAGTTTGACTTTTTGTCGATAATGTTTCTATTTGGAAACCCAAATGTCATATGCAGTAATATGATTTATTAAAAACTGTATTCGAGTATAATATTTTGTTAATGAATCTCTAACTTAGAAGTTTGGATGTACAGTAGAACTCCGACTTTCAAACTGCAACTATCCTAATTTCCGATTATCCAAATCGCTTACAGAAATAATAAAAAAAAATTCTAAAACTTAAAACCACAATAATAAGAATCGTTGTTAAAGAAGGCAGAAGTCCTGATCGCGGCAAAATCCAAAACCTTCCTCACAACTGTTTTTTTACATTATCATCTCCTGTGGTCTTTGTTTTTACGTGATGATGGCAAAATGTTAAATATATCCCACGGTCGTGAAGACATCATCATCGTCCTAATAAGTCACGGAAACATGCTTATCGTTTACTGCGATCACGGCAATACCTTGAACATCTTCTGCGGTCTTGTATATCCCTTTAAAATATGCGCTCTGTGATCGCAATAGTAAAATCTTAGCTTGGCTCGGCCTATTTTCTTTCAAATGCCCTGAACTTAAGTAAAATTCCAGTTATCTGAATTTTTGACTATACAAATGGGTTCCGGTCCCAATTGATTAGGATGATTGGATTTTTACTGTACACTGTGCCAAGTCGCTGCGGCCTGTGCTGCAGTCTTCCAAGATTGCAGCACAATATTGAACACGTCCTGCAACAGCAAAAGATTGTCATCCATTTATCATGACAAACTGTTTTGTGATCCTGAAGACATCAGTACCTATAGTCTCTTGCGATCCATGGTAAGATCTTTCATTCCTCATGATGGCGAAGAGATTATTATCTTATTGATTTTGGTAAAATTAAGAGCTACCTTTGCACAAACACTAACATTGTCTTCTGCGGTCATGAATGATTCCTGAACATCCGCCACGATTGCGAAGAGATCATCTTTGTTTCCAAAGATCACGGTATAATCTTTAACACCCTTCGAACACCATCCTTGATCTTGATACCTTGATATTGAGCAAAATCCTGGACATCTCCCACAATCGTGAAGACATCATCGTTGTATCCCGCAGTCAAAATAAAATTGAGAACATCATCTGCGATCGCAACGACCAACGATATCACTAACGTCTCCTGTGAATGACGTTTTAAATTGATTAACAAAAATGACGTAACAACAAACAACCCATAAACCAAAACTGACATTTTCACTCTCGGTTTTGGTCTTTTTTGTGCTAATAACCGGTAAAACAACAACTGACTGTATCAATAATTGACCCATCTATTAAGAAGGCATTTATGTTTAAAGAAGAATGATTGGTTATGTTCGGTGTGGCAGGAGGGGGGGGGGGGGGGGAGCTTGAGTAATTTCTGCTTAAGTGGCCAGCCACCAAACATAACTACGTCGTCACTTGATTTAGGTGGTTTGATTATGTTATTCTAGGGTCTGATCATTGACTATATAGTCAATGGTCTGATGTATAAGCTGTTGAAGCTTAAAGATTTAATACAATTTTAAATATAAATTTAAAAAGATATTGTGTCCTATCCTAATATGATATCTTCTTTTGTCCTTGCAGGTGTTCACCAACATTGAGCTTCAGCTAGATGCCAGACATGAGCCCTCCACACTGTCCAAGCTGGTCTATCTCATGTTGGACATCAGCTACTCGCTGGATACGTTCATCAAAGTGTGTCCCCAAGCCGCTGCTGTCTACCACCAACACCTGTTGGAGCCTAGGTTTGTTAGTGTTATACCCGTATTCAGCTAAACTGGGTGCAGTTATTAATGTCAAAATAGTAAAGGTTTTTAATTAAATTAGTTTATCCTATAAAATAGGAACTTTTTGAGTGGTTATGATTAATATTTTCTTTTTCTACAGTTAATTTCTACATTAGTTGTACTAGAGTAGTACTTCCAAATTTGTTCATGTGCCTTTTTCTTTATTCATAGGCCTATGTGAAGAATCTGTTCCTAACGATAATTAATTTCTTTAATCTCCGTGTCTATTGCAGTTTTTTATGTATTAGATAAAAAAGTAGAGGTAGAGATGATATGACAAAGTATAACAAATAATGTGTGATTCTGACTTAAAACTGTCAATATTTTACAAACTGTAAAAAATTAGCCCCATTTAACCTGAGCAGTGTATCAAATTTAAATGTGGCTTACGATTATCAGTTTACTTTGTATGGTTTAAACTAACAACCAGTGTGTATGATGAACTAAGCCTCAACAAAGCAGGCTCTTTTGACAAATATTTTGAACAAATTACTGTTAACATGGTTGATCTATGAAAGGAACAAACAATGTTTTAACATATCTACTAGATGTACCCCTTTGCTAACTTATAAGTACAATTAATTAGGTAAACGGATTGAAATATTAACTAAGTTTTAAAAATGTAACTGTAACGTAGATTGAACTCCTCTTAGATTGCTACTCACATTTTATGTTTTTCAGAATTGCAACTTTCTACGAGAACACAGTTCCTTTGCTTATTAAATTTTTGGATTCACAAAACGGAAGTGGAGACTTTCAGGAAGAGCATGCGAAATTCAAGATGAAAATCGATATCAGCCGACATAACCTTATAACTTCAGTCCATGGATGCCTCTCCTCTCACCTAGCTACCCTATTGGAAGAGAGGTTAGTTAATACTTTTTGTTATCATTATTGTGAATTGTAATTTAGTGGGATGAGTTCTCCGATACAGGTAAATTATTTGTCTCTTAGAATCCTTTCCTTGTTTTTCCTTTTTCCACCTAAACAAAAGGAGAAAGTATTGTATTTATCAAAATGTTCTTGAGTTTTGGGTGAAAGTATCCATTTTGGTTCCCCTGTTTTTTAAGTGATGTCTTTGTGTGTGTATCTCACAGTTTTTGTATGTAAAATATATGTGTGGATGTGTGTAGAGCTACAGACTAAACCCAGGGCTAGAGATATACAAGGGCTAGGCCACGCGAGCTCAGAAAGTGATGCCAGGTGGCTCCCCACCACTCCGCCGCTGTGACGTCACGGCGATACCTCGGGCTCCCGGCACCGTATATCTTTGCCTGTGTGAGCGCTGGTATTACCGCACATTTAGCGTTTATTAAGCTCTATGTTGGACATTTTTTATTAGGTATATGTATTTTATAAAAGTAATTGATTTTCAAATAGGATTACGTATAAAAACATCAATTTAAATAAATAAATACCCCCTCCGCAGCAAACCTGCAGACTAAGCGAATTTCCATTTGACTGATTGGATTTACACTGAAATATCTACTTAAAAATATAACATTTATTCTTGACTAGCTGTGTACCCGTTCTACGCACGGGGATCTTATAATATTCAGTTGAAACCTTCTTATATAACGAACAGCAGTTGGTTTGCATATTTTAAGATATGCTGGCCAAACTATTATACATAGCTTCATTTTATGTTGTTTTTTGTTGTTCCGGATCGGTATGACAATCAATAAAAGGTTAAATTACCTCTGTGTCTGCCGGTCGATCCTATAACGGTAGGCTTACTTTTATTTTTACTATCTGATCTCGTTTGCATGGCTCAATCACGTCCTGGTTGAAGTTCGTTCGCTACGCTCACTCACCTGTATGTTGGAGCTCGTTCGCTGCGCTCACTTTCCTTCAGGTTAGCTCGTTCGCTACGCTCACTTGCCTTCAGGTTAGCTCGTTCGCTACGCTCACTCGCCTCCAGGTTGCAAATTAGCTGTTGTCATAAATGTAAAAGAAATAATAGTGCTAGTGCTGCACCCTGTTGGTAATCCTTGTAACTTTAATGCTATTGAACATCACAGAACAGAACCAACTTGTTTAATTGAAACAGCTGTTAAGATTCAATAATTTCATTTCTCATAAGGTTAACATGGGCTTCCAGAAATTCCACGTCAAAAATCGACAAAAACTTGATTTTCAAGGGTTTACTGTTAAATATCTAACTGTCTCATATTCGATGAAATACGTCTAAAACCATCTCATATATGTATAGTATTTGGAAAATAAGTTTCAGGCGGGACAGTGCTATAGTTATTGAGGAGTAGTTGTAATAAAGTGCGTATTTTAGCGTTACCAAGAGAATGACAGATAGACAGACAGACAGACAGACAGAAATTGAGATAAGGTTTGATTCGGTTTCTCTGACCTATGAAATGTAAAAATAACCAAAAAGTTCATTATTCTAAGCAATGTACAGACAAAACTCTAATTTTATTTATATAGATTTAAATAGAATTAGTTTAACAAGTACTTAGGTTTGCTGCATCAGGGAGGGTAAAACTGTTTTTTTTTTTTTTTTGGAAAATGTGAATAGTTAGTAAGAAATAAAAATATTTTCCAAATTTGATCAAAATATGTTCACAAACAAGCAAACTACAACAGTTTACTTATTCTCCATAAGAATAACATGGGAGTTTTAAATTAAAAATCTTTTGGAATTTTCTCCGTAACCATTAGGCGCATAATAACGCTTCAATATACTAAATTATTTGTTTTTTTAAGCTCTACAAAATGGTTTGGAAAGAAATTGCTAAATTTTATTTTTTTTGGGTCAAAAATGAGAAAAACCTATTTTCACCCCATAAAACCCCCCGTAAACCCCCGTTCCCATGGTCCGATCATGCTGGATCGTGAACTCGTTCGAATAAACGTACGTTTACACGTTTGTACCAAATTACATCAAAATCGGATCATTTTTGCTTGAGTTATCGTGCTGACGGACACATCTATATATTTAATACACAGTTGTAACACTGTTTAGTGTTTTCTCAGTAATTACTGGACCGATCTACAAGATTTATGTCTCAAATTATAGGGGATATTGTGTAGATTTGCCGAACTTCCTTAGAATTTACGTTTTTTCTAAGGGCTACGACCTACAGCCCTTTAAAGGTCGAGTCAATACAATTCTTATTGAAGAATATAATACACAGTTTAAAAATTATTCGTCAGCTGTTTAATGTTTGTCAGACATTTGTTATTATTTTTATAACCTCACTTTAAGTATTCAATTATTAAACTTGGAGTTTCTGTTTATTAACACACGATTTTGATCAAGGAAAGTGTATTTGTTAACCAATTTTTGAAATGTTTTAGTTTTCCTGCAAAGTGATCTGAAGGAAAGTGGTAATTGAGTTTAAGTTTGAGTATGGAATGTGAAATAATACCCATAGTAGGGAACGGAAACTTATTGTTTTGATCAATATAATTTATTCTCTACGGCCACCAGAATAATCATGGGAAAATCCGCTTGCAAGTTGTACAGATAATTGCTAATGAGTGGGAAACATACAAACATTTTATAGTAGGTGACGAATCTTACTCAAGATCAGTGTTAGACGTTCAGTGGTACCAAACTTTACCTTCTCGAGATGGCGAGTACGCTGGGATACGTGGAACTACAATATATCAGTGAATTTTTTTTCAAGTACACAGGGAAGTTGCTTGAGAAACTGTGACTTACCATTCGGTTCTGGCGAAGAAGTATGTGACTTGATGTTTAATGGCAATGTTGACTCGGGCCATTATAGCGTTATAAAACTTTATCATTAACCCCAGGGCGTGAAAAGTACAAAAAGAAAAAGAAAAGGTAATCATTAACCGGGCGTAAAGAGACATACCGAACGAAAAAAATGTAGAGAACCATCGAACTAAAAAGGTAAAGAGCAGTGTTGGTGTTAAATGTGCTCTGGAAGTCCCTACAAAAAAAATACCAACTCTTTTGAATTGGGGTCGTTAGATTGGATTTGTCACTACTTCAAATCTATGAATTTCGAGTCAGAACAGACTAACTGGGACACAAAAATGTTTTAGTTTTCCTGCAAAGTGATCTGAATTAAAGTGGTAATTGAGTTTAAGTTTGAGGATGGAATGTGAAATAATACCCATAGTAGGGGACGGAAACTTATTGTTTTGATCGATATAATTTATTCTCTATAGCCACCAGAACAATCATAGGGAAATCCGCTTGCAAGTTGTACAGATAATTGCTAATGATTGGTAAACATACACACATTTTATCGTAAGTGACCTTACTCAAGATCAGTGTTCGACGTCCAAATTTTACCTTCTCAAGATGGCGAGTACGCTGGGATATTTGGAACTACAATTTATCAGTGAACTCAGGGCCGATTTACCGAATAGGCACGGTAGGCACGTGCCTAGGGCGCGAGGCAATTGGCTTTTTTGGGGGGCGCCAAACATTTGGAAAATAAAAAAAAATTGGTGGATGTTTGCATGCGATTGCGGTAAACTGTCTAATAATCCCTCGCCGCCGTGTAGACATCGTAATCGTTTCCCGCGTTTGCGGCGAGATTCTTACTATTTTCAGCGGTCAGGTCGTTTAGACATAATTATCGTCTTCCATGATCGAAGTAATATATGAGCATATCCGGCGGTCGTGAGGAGATTATCATCGTCTACCGCGAATGAGGCAAAATTCTGATCTTTTCCTGCGGTCGTAAGGACATTATCTTCGTCTTGCGCGATCGTGATCAAATTCTGACCACCCCTCGCGGCCGTGAAGACATCATTATATCGTCCCCCGCGGTCGTTTGAACATATTAATCGCCTCCGACGATTGTAAAAAAATGGTAATCATCTCCCTCGGTCTTGTGGAGATCATCATCCTCTTCCGCAAATTATGCAAAGTACTGAGCTTTTCCCGAGATCATGTGGCCATTATCATCGCCTTCCGTGATCGCGGCAATATTCTGATCATCCCTCGCGGCCATGTAGAAATCATTATTGTATCTCCTGCGGTCCTGTGGACATATGGAGACCATTGTCTTCCGTGAATGAGGCAAAATTCTGATTTTTTCCCGCGGTCATGTGGACATTATCATTGTCTTGCGCGATCGTGGCATAATTCCGATCGTCCCTCGCGGCCGTGTAAATCATTATTGTACCTCCCGCAGTCCTGTAGACATCGTAGCCGTCTCCCGCGGTCGTGTATACATGGCAATCGTCTCCCGCGATTGCAGCAAAATGTTAATCATGTTCCGTAGTTGTGTGGAGATCATCATCGTCTTCCGCGATCGCGGTAAAATTCTTGCTGTTTCGCGCGTTCGTGTGGACATTATCATCGTCTTCCGTGATCGTGGCAATATTCTGAATATCTAGCGGCCGAGTGTAGACATTATCGTCTCCCGCGGTCACGGAAACTGTTGTCATGCGCGATCACGGTAATTTGAAAACTCCAGGTAGAAATACAAAATTTGCACAAAATTCCCGGTTCATAAAATTCCCGCATGATTCCCGGATTTCCCAGTCGGTGGACACCCTTTTATATATATTGCAAAGGGGCGCTACTATTAGTTGTGCCTAGGGCGCTGACAGGGTCAAAAACGGGCCTGAGTGAACTATACCCTAACTATATTTTTTCGAGTAGCCTCACACAGGGAAGTTGCTTGAGAAACTGTGACTTACGTTTTCGGGTTTGGCGAAGAGGTATCTGACTTGATGTTTAATGGCAATGTTGACTCGGGTCATTATAGCGTTATAAAACTTTATCATTAACCCCAGGATGTGAAAAGTACAAAAAGAAAAAGAAAAGGTAATCATTAACCGGGCGTAAAGAGACATACGGAACGAAAAAACATGTAGAGAACCATCGAACTAAAAAGGTAAAGAGCAGTGATGGTGTTAAATGTGCTCTGGAAGTCCCTTCTAAAAAATACAATTTTTTTTAAATTGGGGTCGTTAGATTGGATTTGTCACTACTGCAAATCTATGAATTTTGAGTCAGAACAGACTAACTGGGACACAAATATTTTTTCCTTATGTTGTCACAAGGGGAAGGTAAAATGAACTCCTTATCAACATTTTGAGTTTATGGAAACCTTATCAACAGCGACTTTAAAAAAAGTATTAAGGGTCAAAAGAGACAAAAAACTATTTGAGTAAAATATAATACAAATCTGCATTTGAAATGGCCAGTTCTAAGTCTCACTTGAATCAACATCTTTCTGGTAGTGGTAGTCTACATAGTTTTAAAATCCACGACTCCTTTTCCATCAAATTGGACCGTTAATACCCTATAACATTGAACAAAGTATGCCCAACTTTATATATACGACGTAAACACAGCTTTTACTCACAGTATGGTTCAAAGATTCGTGAAATGGCTGATGCGTGATTTACATGTAGGCTAAGTGACTATCTTTATTCCATACAACAAATGTAATGAAAAAAAACGACAAATATAGGAATATACTTGAGCAAACTATCTAAATAGCATAAATAGCTGCTTATTAGGTTATCAGCATTGCCCAGTTCGTATACTATTTATTTTTCAAATGAAACTCGAATGAATATAAAACATTCATTTGGTTAAAATAATATATCGGTTTGATTAACATAAAATAGTTTATACAGGCAAACTATCAGTTCTATTTCATGTAAAAAATTAAACAACCCCTAAATAAAATACAAAGATAAACAGTATTTGTTAATTATTATTTCTTTTATTGATGACAATATTCCCGTGGCGGAGCACGGGCGGTTAACTAGTATATATATATAAATTTGAACGGATGGTGTTTTTGGCCTCTAGGGACCTCAAAACGAAAAAAAATCGGTCCCGCGTCCAGGTCTTACCATGAGTACTACGGTAATAGCTTATTCCCTATATGGGAAATTCGCTAAAAATTAACTTTTGTAGATATTTAAGGATGGGAGTGGAATGTAAAGCGATGGCTAAGAATACTGTAGTTATTGATCCAACGCATTAAGTTACTGTGTAATATCTGTGTTCGTATTGCTCGAATGTATCTTAAATCTTAATGTATTGATTATTAATTGTATTTATTTATTATTTATTCATACCTTTTAGGATTCATTGAGGTTATATAAAATACATTGCGGTTGTATAAAAATACATTACCTATACTTAGTATTTTGTAACTTTTACAGTAAGGAAAATAATTTCAATTAATCAATTGAATTTTATTATAGGCCCTACGTATTTCAATACATTAAAATAACATATAGATGCAAAAATACATTAAGTTGCCTGACTAACTAACCTAAATCTCTGTTGACCAATAACTAACAAGTCGAGTTTTGGTGTGATTTTACTTTATCAGTTTACATCGTGATTATAAGTTGTAAAGTTGTAAATGTTTAGTTTCGATATTTTTGATTGTGCCTCGACTGTAATGTGACATTACTTTTAGAAACTTAAGACACTATTTTTTAGCCGGTTTTTGTGAACTTCATTGACTGTTTCCCAACAACGAATATGGCGGGTTTGTCTTTATCACTTTAATCGTATTTATTAGTTGTAAAAAATTTACTTATTTAGTTTGTAAACTGTTTTATGTGGATATACTTACTTAATTTGAGGTCTGGGACATTAAATTTAGCCCGTTTTTGAAACATTTCGTCATAGACTAATTAACAAACGATTTAATCGCCAAATAAAAAAGACACAGCAGCATTTTATAGAAAAAACTATAAAATATTTGTTTTTATATATTTGCCTTTATAACTATGTATATTCGTGTAGGGGAATAAGTTTACTTTCATTTTATATAGTTGGTATGTGGGGTTTAAAAAATAATATATACCTGTGAATAACAAAATGTTTTTCTAGACAAATATAAACATTTATTAAAAGTCATAAACATCTATTGAAATGATCATTTTTAAACAATTCTTATTTCATTTGATCTCCAATATTATTGCCTAAAAATGTTTACTTTTACTTTATCTCTTGATAACACATTTATTTGGTTTTTGAAATTTGTTGTGCAAAATCGTGAAACTTGTCATTTTATTGTTGTTGGGCCATAACTTTGTATAAATGGTAATTGGAATCTTTTTACATTTCCATGTAGGGAAATAAATTCCAAACAATGTGTATATCTTATGAAACATTTTTGGTTCATGCAGCAATTTTTCTACCTACTGTCAATATTTTCTACAATATTTTTAATATTTATTTTGTTGCCATTTTCAAATTACGAAGTGTCTTCATTTCATTACGAACACTTCAAGTTGGAGATAATAACGGTTCATAGGTTTGGTCTGTTGGTTTAGTTTTTATGAATTTTCGAAAATATGACTGCAAAATCGCCAAAAATGCCTTGCCACTACAGAGTTCGCCCATTGCAAGTTTGAGGGTTAACGAAACCAGCTTTAAAAATCACACTATAAAACTACATTATTATAAACACAATTATTAATCGCGCGTAGATGCTGGGCGACATATGTACTGCCGTGCTAGGCTACCGTCGCGCCTCGCACCGATGTATCTCCGCTACGTCACTGTGGAGGGGCGGGGGAGGGGAAGTAGGATCAGGCGGCGACCGCTAACATCAAAGGAGTGAGCCAGCCCTTGTATATCTGTAGCCCTGGACTAAACCTTCCGATTTTGATTAAATTGGGTATGTGGGTACTAATCCATAATATCTCAAGGTATTTATTTCATTTAAAAAATTATTTAATGGTAATTTTTTACCAAAACCCATAAAACAAAAAAATTGATGTTTACTAAAACGACTTGGACAATTTTGTAAAAAACAGCCTCACACCGTAATTTATGCACACCGATATAAACCAACTAACTTGTAGCAGTGTGTTACAGAAAATCAGTTTTACATAATAAATCTGAAGTATTGATCTACTGGTTTTTAACCTAAAATTCTAACTTGCTATCCTCACAGTAAATTAAACCATTGACCATTGGATACTGAAACAGACATCCCATCTATATGGAACAGCTGTCGCAAATTTTTTTATTAAAAAAGAATATAGTTATGTGAGCCAGTCATAGAATGTTCTAGGGTCTAAAATTATATTTATACCTTATTTATTGTTGCTTACCAAGAAGATGGGTAATAACAGTTGCTATAGCTCACCATGAGTCATTCCATTAGTTTGACTTTGTTAAAAAGTCTGTGTATTCAACAGAAATTAGTGATTTAGATCAGCACAATCTGTCGGTGGCTCACATCAGCTACGACGATTTTGGTTTAAAAACTGGCAACAACTTAAAACATGGGAATGGAATGTCAAGTTGTATTATAAACAAAACATAAAATAACTTTCATATGCGCCTCTAATTTACGATACCTTTTTATTCTCCTAGGACATTAGGCACGAGCCCGGGATTGTTTTTCACATTATTTCAGGCTAGACATAGGGGTTGTGGCATTATCACCTAGATAAAATCCATTGGTGATTTGGTGTGGTACATGCTGATTATAAATTTTACTGTCAAAAACAGTTTTTGAATTCATTTTTAAACAGTTTCTGTATTCCAGGGACCATCTAACTGATGAAGAGTTGAAAATAAAAGTGGACATGTACATGAGCACTCTCACAGACTGTTTGTCAGAACATACGTTTATAAGAGACTACAACTCGGCCTTCCCTATCCACGGGGAACTCAGCATGCTCAGTGAAATCTGTCCTGAAATGTATCCTTTACTTTAAGTGTGGTTACAACTTACAAGTGAGATATTTTGAAAGTCAGAGAGTAAACTGATTAGGTAGAATTGTTATGAAATGGCGATTTTCTAAACAAAAGGAATTTTGTTAAGTTTTAAACTAAGAGCTAAGTCCTTTTTGGTCTGATTTGAATATGTAATAATTATGCTTCTGATGGTCTGTTCGCCCATTGCAAGTCTACCCAGCCAACTTTTGTTTGTTGACGTTTAACTTTCAATTTTGCTTGTTCTATATTTTGGAGTTTTTTTTATTTTGGTTCACGTTTAAGTTTTTAAAATGAGTTTTTAAATCTGTTTAAAGTTAGATTTCAGAAGCTAACAAAAGTATATCAAATGTTAATTGGGCTTTGGGACAAAAGCCTCAACAAATTAATTTGCAGGCAAAGGATTTAAATTTTATCAGATCACCTGTTACCAAATTCAAAGTGAAAATCAAAGCAAATAACTTTTACCAACCAATTATTAACCAATTAATTATCAACCAATTAATTATTAACCAATTTACTAACCAATATAACTTAAACTTTACTGTTTGTTCACAAAATAATCAACTATGAAAATCTTGTTAACCCTTTCAGTGCTATGCGACGATATCTCGTAGTGCGTCTTTTTTCTGAAAAGTGCTATGGAACGATCTATCCTTGTTTATGTTCCTACTGCAATGTAATAAAAAAAATAGTATAATTAATTAAAACGTCCATTATATTAACCATAAGGGTTATATTATATTAACCATATGGTTAGAGGTAAAAGTAATATTTACTACAGTTTTACTTAACTTGTAACAGTGATTCTTTAAAGCTTGATTTCATCGTGGAATCAGTCGCTTTGTTATTTGAACCTCCAAAAAGACGGAAAAGAAGTTCTGCTACAGCCTCAAATGGTGTCAATCCATCTTCAAGCAACAGTTTTCATTCTCTTGAGGTATTTTTTCATTAGCAGTCAGATGCATGCCACTTTTTTCATTTGTCTATTAGAGCATATAAAATCTGTAGATCTAGGCATTCTAAAAGTGCTTTGAAGTAAAAGTTCTCAAAAAGAAATCTTTTTATTGAAAGATATTTTGGAAATATAGGAAGGAAATGTGCACTGTAAAATATGCACACAAAAATATATAAAAAATGAACTGTAAAATAGTGTGTTATCTTGTTGATTCAAAATTGTCATGGTTAATGCTTGGTGTTTTGTCAAATTCCCTAAATGGTATGGTATTTCACAACTTCTCATCAATGTTTCTCAAGTGAGATTTAAGTTCAACAAATTATATAAAAGTCCCTTCGAGCCAATTCTTAAAGATGTGCCTTTAATTGAATTACTTCAAGATACTTCAATTAATAAAAAAACTAACACCATTAAAATTTAACTACATACTCATGTTGGAAATGTAATTCGTGTGTTTTGACAACAAATATGTAAAGGGAGACAAAAATAGTTGAAATTTACTGTTTTTAGGGCTCAAAACAGGAAGCAAGATCAGGAAGTACAAAGAAGAAAGTTGTTGGAGTAGAATTGGAGTCCCTCATTACAGAAGTCAAAGATATTCTAACTGAGCTTGGGGATGGATTTGTGGCTGTGAGTTTTCTTCATAATATTTAGTTTGTGTTGGTATTTTTCCTGGTAATAAAGTAGATAAATATGAATGAATAAATATGAATGAATCCTAGACAAAATTATAGACAGTTAATCTACCTACTGTTAGCTTCGTTTATTTTAATTTTGGTAATTTTTTATATTGTGGACTTATTACTCAATTTAAAACCTTAGTCTGCCAATTCTCTGAGATGGGTTTATACACATCATCACTCACTACAATGAACCACTCTAAAGACCAGAGTGCGTAGTTAGATTGGAAATGCAATCAATGACTTTTAAAACAAAAGTCAAAGAGTTTTCTAAACATATATCCTTATCTTGACATTGGCTTGAAACTTTTTTTTTATATGCTGATCAAATTGTTTCATTATTATTTATATAATATTAGTAAGATTACTAAAACTATCTTGAATTATAGCCAATGGTTCAATCATAAAGATCATAGTTGAGTGAACCTGTCACAGATTGTACTGGTGTTTAAAATTCTACTTTCTACCTTATTTGTTGTCACTGATATAGTGGTGGATGATATAGCTTACAATAAATAAGTCTTCCTATCAGTTTTTTACTTGGATAATAAGTCTGCATATCTGGCAGAAATTAGCAATTTAACTTAGAGCAATCTGTCATTGGCTCCCTTCAATTATGCCCATTTGCATAATAAATGCATGACAACTTTAACATGGGGACGGAACATGTAGGTTAAAGTTAAAAATGTTTGAACTATTAAGGTCAATTTTACTTAGTTTAAATTGTTATCCAATGTTCATAGATAATTTCATATAATTGTTTCAGCAATGTTTGGAGTACTACAACTATGTCAGTGCAGATGTTATCAATGCAGTTCTAGAAGAGAACTTGCCCGAGTGTTTATTGATGTTGGAACGTGATTTGCCTTTGATACCTCCGGATGAAGCGGAGGTTTGTCTAAACTAAAACTACCATTCAACTTTTTGATCGCTTAAGTTAAAATATTGCAGTGTAAAATTTCTTATGCCCTAAAGAAACCTTTTTTTTTAAGAAAAAAAACTCATGTTTACCACAAAATAAGTAGCATTCAAGCGTCAGACGATCGTTCAATAATAAAAACTTTGTGAGATTTAAAAAAAATGTCAAAGGACCCTTTTAAAGAATTGAGTGTAAGAACAATCTGACACATAATGTGCTGTGCTATACCAAAACGTCTGTTACTTTGAACAGCCTTCATAGATGTATTTTAAATCATTAAGAATCTTCCCCTAGCTACAGAAAGGTTCATGACAGTCATACTTTCTTCAACACACATATTTTATTAAACAAAATTTAAATTTCCCATACAAATTCTCAAATAAGGGGAGAAAATAAAAATCTTACCAAGATTCCAACATAAACATAAAATCCAGTTGACTGTCACTAAGAAAATTATAAAAAGTGTAAAAATACTGCTCTATCCTTAAAAACCCTCTGTTTACAGCTTGTAAAAAAGAGGGGTTTTTAATTGATTTGTTTACTTTGTTTTCTTGTGCTTTTGAACAAATAGCTTCAATCTTTCTTTATTTTACATTATGAACTGTTTTATATATTAAGTTTTTAAGGGTTTTAATAATACAATTTTAACTAATATTTGTTCCTTCCAGGCGACCAATGTGTATGAAAGGATCAATGCTTTTGACAACGATGAGTTTGATATAATGACACGTGACCATGTGGATACGTCAAGAATTCACAAAGGAAAAAGGTAAAGTGAGAAAATTAGATAAGTTATCGTACTTTTTTCAGTCTTGTACAGTATTAAGTCTTGGATTAGCCACTATTTATGGCTAAGCGCAAGTTTTCAACTACGTTATTTCCGAGGTGTCAGAACATATCTAGAGGTAGTTGATTATTTACATATTTAACCATACAACTTGTGTGATATAGTTTCTCCAGGGACTGATCCAACTTCATAGTTTTTTTTTTATAATATTAAACTAGTTTTTGTAAGGTCTACTTTTAAAAACTATATCCAAGCTATTTTATTTTAATTATGGCTCTTAAACTGCAACTTTTTTTTCTTTTGAAGTTTGTTCTAGTTCTCTTGTGTAAATGCATCGCATAATGATACTGACTTTAATTATGTCTTAATGGAATTAAAATGTCTATGCAGGCAAGAGAAGCACAAGGACTTGGTTGACATGCTGAATGACAAGTCTCACGTTCGAGAGATGCGACACGTGTATCAAGAGCTCAGCATTGTGGAGGACATAGTGGATTACGACGACGAGTACGATGACACTTATGATGACGTTGATGTGGCGGTCGGAAATGATGATACTGAGACAGCAGAGAGGTACGTTGTTGACTAACGGCCATTTTTATTTTTCTTCTCATTTTGGGAGTAGCGGTAGTTATTTAATGAATGAATGAGGAGGATGTAACATTTTCATTGTTTGGAATGAACTGATCTAGATGGTTGAATGCCATTGACTTCTGAATACTGTAGTTGACATCCTGCCTTCCATTACGATCATCATATTTGCGGCCATCTTTTAACCGCTTGTGCCGCATGAAAATCACGACACGTTCCACTGCCTCTTCTTTTTAGGCCTGTTGAAGCAATTAAAGCTTTTCCGCACTATTCTATACACGCAATTTGATGGAATAACGCTGCTCCTTCAAGCACTGAATTTTTATTCTCAAGATGTTTTGTTGTGATCACAAACACTCTGACTTACTGCATCACTATGTTTCACTCTTAGCATCTTGCTAGCAACCCCTCTACCCAGCCAGAGCCACGTGAACGGGAAAAAATCAGTCTTAAAACTTAATTAACACACTCTGTAAAGGCCGTAGCTTTTTTTATAAAAAAAAGAACATAATTAAATGTGCCACTCACAGATTGAGGTACAGTCTAAAATTATATTTTCTCCCTTAGTTCTTGTTACGGAAATAGTTGATTTGGCATAAGAGACATGATAGTTTATGATAAGTTGTCTTTCCGGTTTGTTGTTTGTCTTGATAAAAATGTCGGTACCAGTAAAACTTCACTACCTCAACAATTTGTAGACCAAGAGGTTGTCGAGTTTGGGGGTTGTAAATTTCTCCAGAACATTGACGTTTTTAATTTGTTTTCAATAAATGAGTACATAACATACTAATTTTTACAGATAAATTTACTACTTGAATAGTTTTACATATTGTGTAGACAATCTTTAAATAAATTTGGAGTATTCAACAATTCAAACTAAAACTAAATGTTCTGTAAAATTGCTTTAATTGTGTGCCCCCGTCAGCTGTTGAGTTACTGGATGTCGAGTTAGTGAGGTTTTACCGTATATTCGAGAGAAATCAGTAATTTACAACAGCACACTCTATCAGTGGCTAAATTATATTTTTTTATTCTTAGACTGGGTACAACTTTAACGTGGAAATGGAATGTCTAGTTCTACCCACAGTAAAAGATAATTATTTATGTCGCAAAAAAGAAAATTTGGAGACGTAATATGAAATATAAAATTTTATCTCAGCCGCTAAACTAAATTTTGTGAAAGGTAGACCCCATTAATTTTTCATTATCAATAAGTTTCCTTGATTTCTGACTTACATTCATCATTATTACTTTGCACCTTAAGTCAACAGTAAATTGATTTTTTCTACCTTTTTTTTTCTTGCAGACGAGCTTTTGTAGTGCCAAGAGTCCTGCAGCAATATAAGAAAGTAGAAGAGCCACAAGACTACGAGGAGGAAGAGGAGCCAGAAAAAGAGAAGAGAGACTTGTTCTGTGAGGATCCTGCAGAGCTGAGAGCAAGAGCTGAGCAGAGAAGACAAGAGGCGAGAGGAAGAGGCCGAGGTCGGGGCGGCCACACACAGCATGATGTCGTAGGTAAGAGTGGAGAGAGAATACAATAGAGTGTCAATTATTCTACTATCTAAGCGGCAAAGCTGGGCCGTTCACAAATTACATAACACTCAAGGAGGGAGGGGTTCGACTTAACGTTACACAGCGAGGAGGGGAGAGTGAGTTTTCATAATCGTTATGGTTACACACAAAAAAATATATTAATTTTTAAGTACCAAAATTATAAAATATTTAAGAAACAGTGTTTTTGGTAAAAATAAATTTAATATCAGTTTAAATTTTGTATTTTTGGTCTGGAACTGATATTCTAGTTCCAAAACGTCTTACCAACTCCTAGCTCTGGTCTTCCAGTTAATGAGGACATCAAAGAATGGATTTGGTAACCCTGGGTTTATAAATAAGATGGCAATCTTATATACAAATTTAACAAATTTGGTTTTTCTTTTCCGAGTTTGTTTGGCTCTTTTACCCAACCGATTTTCATGACTGAGGTCACAAATGTAAGGTATGCACACAAAGATTTCACATCAAGCATCGGCATATATATAAATAATAAACATATAAATATATGCCGATGCTTGATGTGAAATCTGTGTGTGCATACCTTACATTTGTGACACATTATATAACTTATATAACATTATATACATTAGATAACTACAGTCCCAATCGGCTTATACGTAAACAAAATTTGCTCCCCATGTATTTCTTATGGGAGTTAAATTTGGTTTTTCTTTTCCGAGTTTGTTTGGCTCTTCTATCCAACCAATTTTCATGATTGAGGTTTCAAATTGAAGGTGCATGCATGCACAGATTTCACATCAAGCATCGGTTTATTATTTTATCTACTGTTTCACTTGACCAAAAAACTTTTTTAATTCTTACTTCAATTTTAAATGTATCTCACCAGTTTTAATTATATTATAAATCATATATATTTTGATATAAGAACCTTCAGAGAAATACCGACTGTCATTTAAGCTTTTAGTTATTCAAATCGGCCGAGTTTCAGCAAAAGCAAGGTGAACAACCGAACCTATTAATCGTTTTAATGAGTTAAGTTTAAGACTCAATCAAAAATCATAAATTTGATTATCGGATGATATTTATTTCAACGCTGTGGGGCAGTTAAGATAAATTAGAATTTTGTACTGTTAAATTAGTAAATTACTGTAATGTGCATTTTGTTCAGAAGTTTTGGGTACATACAATTGGTGATTTTAGCAAATTTCCCTACAGGGAAGAGTAACTACTAACTTAGGTGGCACAGTAAGACCTTGGCCCGGGACCGATTTACTTTTTCATTTTGATGTCCCCAGAGGCCAAAAGCACTATTCGTTCAAATTTCATATGTTATGTGTGTCCGTGAACCCAATAACTTGAGTAATTTTTGTCTGATTTTGATGAAATTTAGCTTTAATGTGTAGGGCTGGATAAACTTGACTGAGTTTGCGAACCAGCATGATTGGACCATGGGAACGGGATTTATGGGGTAAAAATTTGGTTTCCATATTTTTTATCCTTAAAACTTCAAATTTTTCAATTTCTTTCCTGACCATTTTACGGAGCTTAAAAAAATAATAATTAAGTACGGCATATTGAAATGTTTTCATGCGCTCAAAATAACTGTAATTTAAAATTCCCATGTTATATTGATATATATATAAAAAAAAAACATTTTATCACCCTCCTTGCAAACCTAGGTCTTCATTAAACTTAATGTGTTTAAATAGATTAAAGTTAAAATCAAATCAGGCGAATGGAAATTCGCTTAATCTGCAGGTTTGCTGCGGCTAGGGTATTTTTTATTGTAAATGTAAAGGTGTTTAGATATTGACCCCTCAGCAAAGGATGGCGGTCTGGGGGCTTCCCCCCCCAAAAAAATTAGAAAATTACGTGCTTAAATGAGCAATTTTCAAGCTAATTTGGGACATACAAAATCAAACTGACCTAGGTTAATGTGTACTAACTTCCCAGTTTATTTCAAGGTTCAAGACATTTAAAAAAAAATTTACTTAAAGGTTCAAGACATTTAAAAAAATTAACTTTAATAATTCAGTTTTTGCTTTATTGAAACTTATGGAATTGATCAGTAAAAGACGCCGCTAATCCGACGGAGTTTAAGTCGAGACTGTAGGTGGTCAGTACTGCCCAGTAGGTACCTCCGTTATCAGATTGCGTTCCTGCCATCATACTTCCCTTCTCCAGTAAACTTATCAAATTAAAATCTTGTTTAGTTTTTATTTAGCACCTTTGACTTATAGGATTATTTAGATAATAAAAATATATTCTTTAAGATGAATCACAATGTTACAAGTTTTTTTTATGCTGGTTAACTATTAGAAATGTTGCCACTTACCCATCGCCTCAGAAAGAAATAGAGACTGATACATTACCAAACTAAGGTATTTTTGTGTTGAGTATTTACCTGATTTAATTTGGAATCCTATGGAGATGAACTGGATGAGTTGTTCTTTGACCGTTTGCTCAGAAGTTGCAAGGGAGATGATTCTTGTTGCTTGTCTAGAAGAAAAAACACGTTTAAGTGAGGATTATGTTTTATCAATTAGTATTATTGCTGTAGTTATTGTAGGAACTAGTCATTAGGGATATTTTCCTATTGATATTCTTATTGCTAAGTTCCATTTTACTTGTCTTTATTTGTATAGTAGTTGTTTGCCCGTTCTACGTACGGGAATCTTGTAGTAAGTTGAAACCTTATATTCAGAACAGGAGTTGGTTTGCATATTTAGTGTGCATTTTTCCAGATATGCTGGCAAAACTATTACTGTATAGGAATACATATAAACCTTCGCAACTACAATATCTGACAGTTTCAAAGCCAAAACGAATGCTTCGCAATTAAATGTCACCCTATCGTGTTAGTCCATATTTTAAATCTAATGATAAAAGGAATTGCTTTATAGATCTATGAGGCATAGCCCTAAGGTAGGCCTGTAATTGAAAGTTACTTTTCACACTGGTTAAAAGTAGTTAAAATACTACCTCAACCTCACTACTGCACACTTTATTCAGGTTGAAATGTTCATTAACAAAGGAGTTCTTGTCTTTTCCACGAAACACTGAGAAATAAGGACATTAATGCGTTACCAACAGACATACACACACAAATACAGAATTGAATTAGGGTATTTGCTACGCTTTAACCAAAGCAAATTACAAACAAAATAATTATTTGCAAGTTTTTATAGTGTCATCGAATGTTATGATAATCGTTTTTAGGCCTAATCAAACTGTAAAATTGGTGTAAATCCGTTGGCAAATATATAAATAAGTAAATAAATACACAGTCCACAAAACATTTATACTTTACAACGCCAAGCTTTAAAAATTCATAATGGTTTTCTAAAAAAAAATCTTTCACTAACGTTTTATAATTTTCTTAGCATAACAAACATTTTGAAGTACAGACAGAAAACGCAAAAATTATACAGTAAGACATCAATTAAATTTAATAAGAAATAAGGTGCATCACTACGACCAATTCAAACTGTCCTTCTAATCAAACTGTATTATAGGTGTTAATCCGTTGGCAAATATATAAATAAATAAAAACACAGGCCACAAAACATGTAACATGTAACGTAAACAACGTAAAGCTTTAAAAACTCACTATGGTTTGCTAAAAAAACTTTCACTTGATGTGGTGCAGTACCGAAGTTATTAATCTCCCTTGGTTTTAATTTTTTTTTAGTTTTCGAAAATCAAAGTTATTTCCCATTAATAGGATTATTTGTAAGCAACTTTTAATGTTAACATATTAATGACAGTTTGAAGAAACCACCTTTATCCAAACAAAGGTTTCTTATTTAAAATATTACCGGTACGTAATCTCTAAACGGTAATCGGTACATATATCTAGCAAACATTCGGAGGAAATGTTACAAAAAACGCAAAAATCTGAGGTTATGGACGTTTTGTAGTTTTACTTCCTAAGTAGGAAAAGTACCGATAGTTACTTATACTATAGTTGTAAATAGTGATGTGTTTGTACGTAAAAATTATTCTTACTGCTACCACCGGTTCTAAGGAAAAGTAGCAGTACCATAAACCAACGTTTACATTTAAGAAAAGAACTATAGTACTTACGACCAATTCAAACTGTCCTTCTAATCAAACTGTATTATAGGTGTTAATCCGTTGGCAAATATATAAATAAATAAAAACACAGGCCACAAAACATGTAACATGTAACGTAAACAACGTAAAGCTTTAAAAACTCACTATGGTTTGCTAAAAAAAACTTTCACTTGATGTGGTGCAGTACCAAAGTTATTAATCTCCCTTGGTTTTAATTTTTTTTTAGTTTTCGAAAATCAAAGTTATTTCCCATTAATAGGATTATTTGTAAGCAACTTTTAATGTTAACATATTAATGACAGTTTGAAGAAACCACCTTTATCCAAACAAAGGTTTCTTATTTAAAATATTACCGGTACGTAATCTCTAAACGGTAATCGGTACATTTATCTAGCAAACATTCGGGGGAAATGTTACAAAAAACGCAAAAATCTGAGGTTTTGGACGTTTTGTAGTTTTACTTCCTAAGTAGGAAAAGTACCGATATCGTTGTCGAAATGTAAGTAAGTAGAAACCAAAAGTGACACATTGGAAAAGCGAGTTTAGCTACAGGTTACGATCACAGCAAAATCAGAAACATCTTCCAAGATCGCAGCAACATCCACGATCACCCAATGCAGTAGGGATTTTTTACTTTGCACTTTACACAACTGTTCTTGAAGCACCGTCAATGAGTGGAAACCTTTTTTGTAAGCTATTGGTGATGATGATTAAGAACATGTAAGTTTCCCAGCACTAATACAACACTGATTCACGGTATTTTCCCCGGTTATCAAAACTCAAGAACAATCGTTGCACTTGCGATTAATTAAACCGGTTAAGTAAGGCACAACGTTTTTAATCGCACTTGGTTTGGATGTGATAACAAAACTTGATCGAAATGGTTGCGGTATTTGTAAACAACTTTTAATGTAAACATATCA